CTTGTGGGTCGCCCCAAGCCATTGTCTACGCCACACACGCACTCAAAACGCTACTACGATTTCGAATAGATTTCAAATGCAAACCGGGAGGAGCGAGAAGGGGTAAAGAGCTCAGAATCGGATTGATAAACGTCAAAAGCGTCTGGGTTGAAGGACTCTCTTACCGTTCCGTGACCCAGACAGACTTCTCAGACTAGGCTAGCCAAGACTGTAAAAATCGTACTATCATTTCATTATCACATCGATGATGTAAAGCGCCGGGAAATGGACATTAATTATTCTTATAGTGAGTTTTCAAAGCTTAAGATGATGTATGAACTTTCATTCATCCATACGAATACATCGATACACTGTTGAATCTATCGTTACTCAATCTCGTTTTGATTACCGGGTGAGGTTAGGTTCCCATACCACACCTACATAGTGTATGAGCCGCCCTTTCCTAAGGAAGGGCGGCTCATACACTATGTAGGTGAGGGGTATAAAAGTTTGGCTCTTCGGGTCACTCTTTCGGATCTTTGGTTCTGCAATCTCTAGTTCTCCAGTCTTCCGGTCTTCGCTTCCGCCGGTCTCCAGGACTGCCTCCCGAGTAAGCGACCTTGGTTGTTGTCCAAAAATCTACAAAAACAACAAGTAAACAAGGAATTCGCTAGCGAATCCCGTATCCAAAAATTCAGTACCTTACTTTCGAGCGCCAATTAGCTCAATCGAAACAAGAGGGCAACAAGTGGGTCCGAGCCAGGATGCAATGTTAGATTGTAAACAAAAGTCCATTTGAAACGTAATTTCTGCATACTACGCAATGTATGATGCTAGTATTAGGTGTACATATACTATTAAGTGGGCGGAGGTGGTGTAGTGGAAAGTGGCGCACTAACCCACACACATGGTCACTGGTTCAAATCCTGGACCAATATCCATCTGGGCCAACCAAGCCTTCCATCCCTCCGAAGCTGGCTAATTGGTTACAGATTCGTTTGGGAGGATAAAAGCATTGACTTGTACATGAGTTGGCCACCGCAAGTCATTGTAAACGCTACACACGAATTCCGAGCGCTACGGTGCATCCAGGTATGATGCTCTAGAGTATTGGATGGAGCAGAGTTTACTTATCAGGGTATCAGACTATTAGTTCCCGATAAATAGAAACTAGAGCTAAGCAGGGGACATATAGGTTCCAAGCTAATTAATCATTATCATAGTCATTGGATCATCCCACAGGTATCTTCCACTCTTTGAGCTGCGTTGGGAACCAACAGATTGAGAGCCCTTTCGCGAGTAAACAATAACTAGGATAGTTTGCATAACGGATTGTTTTTTGAGAGTTTGTTTTGTGATTCCGTACCACCATGGGGGAGAATCGAATTTAACGAAATCATTGTGTGGGTATGGGGATCAGGGTAGCCTGGCGTACGACCAAAACACCTGATGGCTGCTAATTATCACCAATTTCAGGCACTTCCGGCAGTAATAGCGAAGAATCGTATTGTTAATTTGTTTTCACGTAGAGCGCTCCACGATGGAAAGAATGGTGGATGGCGGGGATTGCCCTCCACCAGAAAACCACCCAAAGAGGTTTTCAACCTGAATAGGAAATGGTCAGTATCAGAGAAACACCAGCTACTCTCGACCTGCTCCCACGAATTTGCCTCTGCTCTGCTGGCTATTGTCTTCTAGAAATTTGGAGAGGACAGACGTTGCCTTATCCTAGGAATAGGGCTATAGAGGAAGGAATGTCTCACCGTTAACTTCGATTTTCTCCTTCACGTTCACCGCAGGCAGCAAGTCGTTGGCGGAACAGCCGGCCGGCAATAACTCGTTTGACACATCGGCACGAAGAAGTTTCAGCCTGAATCGCTTTTATAGACTCCTGCAGTAGCTTTCGCTCCTGGGTAAGACAAGTCCCACAGTTCACAAATCATGAATTGTTTTAGGGGAACTACTGGATTACTGAATTGGATTAGGTACAGTCACATTCATTGTGCTGAAAGTAACCGAAGGGAGCGCTATCCTAGGAATCGCCGAGTATAAACGCAGGGTTCGCGTGGAATTTTTCGAAGAATGGAGTTCTCAACTACCGTCTAACACGGGAATCAAGCTCAGACCACAGAGAATTGACTTTCCGCGTACCATACCTAAGGGCGGTCATTAGGGACATCCCTTGTTCATGCCCGATGTGGCATTTCAAGGACTCTGCAAGATGCGAACTTGCCTTACGTCAATGCACACAAATGATTCATTCATGAGCCATATTAACAAAAGGAGATGCTGAGCGTTTCAATTGCGAAATGCAATGGTCTGTGAAAATGAGAGAAATTGATTGTGCTGAAAACTTCGGAAAAACATTGACATCGTGCACCGATTAGAAGAAGAAAATTGCCCCCCACAGGCTTCCCCAAGTAGCATCTCAATGCTCATTACAGATTGATGAAGTTTCAGTTTGTGTAGCTTTCGTCACTTTGGGGCAGATTCATGGCACAGGCATGACCTGGATGGCCCCGGTCGACAACTTCACCATATACCTATTGAAAATGATGAAGACCCACATGAAGTGGGAATGCTTCTACTTTCTACGTGAACCGTAAACTTTAAGGCTACCCAAGCGTTAAGTGGTAAAACCCAACCTTCCCTGCTTACAATGGTGATACCGTAACTCTAGCTTCTTCACCAAGTCTGTCCTCACCATTACATTTTCTTTGGGAGTGGAGTCTCGGCTTGGCCATGGCCTTCCTCGCTCGAAACCATCTCTACTATTTACTTTTCATAGGGAGCCAATGGATAGGGCTTTATTTCACAAGTGAATTCAAAAATTTGCTGTTCTGCAAAGCCTCTTCTGGATGGAAAAAAGGAAAATTTTCAAAGAATCCGGATTGACAAGATTCAGGACGTCATTTTGCAAAGAGCCCTGAACTTATGTCATTAGTGAAAAAGGATATGTAGCGTTGGCGCGGATACGCCATGCACAGGGTATGGGCAAGCTGTTACAGTTAGCGAAGAATGAGTTGGTGTGCTTCTGCCCCTCGCTCATACTTCGTGCGCTGCAAGCGTCAGAGCAGCTCATTCTTTGGTAACTCATCGGCCACACAGAAGAACTTGACAAATTCGTATGTAGCAGCGCCTTGCGATATTCTACAGTCCCTAAACATCGATTCAAACTCAAAACGCTTTTCTATCGCCGCATTTTTAATGATTTGGTTTTTTGCTTCAAGCTTCTGAAGGGCGAGTTAAAGCTGAAGCCAAGTACTTACTGGACTTTTAGGCCTTGTCGAGGGCGCGCCTACAAGCTCTCTCTACAATGTCCTAAACTTATGAAAAAGCAGTATTGTAAAGCTTATAACTCNAACACAATCTGACTGAATAAATCGACAAAAGTAATGGACTCACCGGCATGCGCTCTCCGTGCGCGCCATTTTGTAGGCGGGATCGACAGCGAGTGTGCACTCGGGCGTTTGATCGAGAGGGAAAATGTCGACTACCTGAATGAACACCTTGAATGCTGTAAAGACATCAAAAGCTTATGACGACGATCAAGCATAGCAACGTGAAATACAATGCGTCATTAGACCCTTCATCGATCTTTTCCCTTCCTTCCTTTACCCAAAAAATCTTAGAAGCCTAGTCACTTCCATTTTGTGTTTGGGATACGTCATGCGGGGAACAGTCTCAACTATAAAGTATGACCGAATAATTATTCCGACTGACTAGTCTGAAGAAAAGCTGAGTGCAACAAATCAGTCGGAAGGTGTGGGTTGATTTTAGTACTTTGTTGCTAGGAAAGCCTAATTAATGTCTATTTATGACCTTATCTGTTCCAAGCACGGCCATCTGTGAAAGCTTTTCGTGTTTTCGGAAAACCTACGAAGAAGAAAACTGACAGTTCATAGCAATCGTTCCTGGTCTTACTCGGTTCCAGTCACTAAATAAGAATGCGCTTATTTTCTTGAGGAGACTCTGAAACTGAATTCTCGAAGAAGGAACCAGTAGAGGGCAGACGGTCCCAAGTTGGACTTTACATGGCCGGTGAAGCGATCGAGGTTGTCGAACTATAGTCAATGATTCCTATTCTTCCAGTCGACTCCCAATTCCTTCGCAGCCCTATTATTAGCGTATCGTAAGATTTTACCACTCTAGTAGAGAGGTACATACATTAGAAAAGTTTCAAAACTGCGTGCTCAGTACCAATACAAAGTTATGCCAGTAAGTTGAAAGGTACCAATTATTATTTTATACCGAAAGGATAGAATTTTCTGCACTGATCACTCTCGTCTGATGAATGAGCCCCCGCATTTAACTTCCCTTCAGAATAGTAAAGGCGTCTGAATGCGTATTTGCCGATACAATGATTTGCAGTAGCCAGCCGATGTACTAGTCAATGTCAGTCAGTCTTTCATCCACGCATGAAAGTCTTGAACCAATTAATCGAACTCGAAGAATTTACAAACTCCTTTGGCATAGGCGAATACCGTTCAGATTTAAACCGTGGACCATTCGTGTGTGATTGTGCGCCATTTGCCACTGCACCGCCTCCGCCCTTATTCGGAACATTAATTAATTGGATAATTAATTGAATATAAATCAAAATGGTCGTACAGATTGCAAGAAGGAATCAAGCAGAAAATGTTTTTTGGTTCAGAAAAATCTAAACGGCCATAGAATCAAAACCCTACACACGTACATGTGTGCATGTCGCCAAATGAAAAGTGACCCGTCCTATCTAACAAAGAAAAGTGCAAAAGGCGCACGTGCTGAACGATTTGTGAGACATTGCGTTAACCAAATGAACTTTTTCTGAACAGTCAATGTCACTGATTTGTACAGACGCAAATACGCTCGTCTCTACTCCGGTATTTCACCGAAAATCACAAAGACAAGTGCCTTTCGAGGTTTGACACTATGTAGTTCTCAAAAGTGGAATACATGGCGCATCCCGACCAGCTAAAATAACGCTGATTTTCCGAAGCTTATTTGTGAAAAACACTGCTGAATCACTGAATGTCAACAATGATGGAACCCTCAGGGATAGATCAATGTTGCCGCAATGCGCCATGCTTGCAGCATGCCATTGAAAATTTCAAGGGTTGCCATCTCAGAGAGGCCTCATCGATTCATATGTGGAGGTGGATGCAAGGGTGTGGCATTGAAGGTGTATTTCCTTCCTTCCAAACAACCCAACAGTAATCGATTAACGAAGAATTCGATTATGCTTGGAATCTACTCTGTGGGCGTGGCGCTTCACATACCACTAAAGACAAGCATACAAACAAATGCCTGGAAAATATGAACACTTGAAAATAAAGCAGTCGATTCAAATGGGAGTTTTATTGACCTTCTTGGGCGCTCATCCCGAAGTAATGGCAGAATAAACTTTTATAGTCTGTTTTTATAGTGATGATGTACTTGCGAAAGAACTCATAAGAGTGTAGCGAATGTTCGTACTTAAACAGAGAACAATTTGGATCTCCAATACTTCCTTGTGTTTGAATGTTCAGTTCACAGCCCTCTATTTGCCTCCTCCCCTCCTTCGCTTCCTCCCACTATCCTTCAAGCTGAGCTACTCACCATGGCACAAGCTAATAGATGAAAAGAAGGAGAATCAGACTGAGATTGACCTAGGAGATTCCCGAATTTTTCTGAGAAGAACGAAGAAGGAGTGAGTGACTTCAAACGAAGGGGCTAACTGTTGCCCAACGTCATCATATCACAAAAAGAAATTCAAGTAATGCTATGCATTCGGGAGACCATCGGCTGTCCTGCTGGGTCAGATGAATCTCTATGGACTCATGGGATGGGAAAGAGGGAGTTTGACCAAGAAAGAGATGTGGAGAGGAAAAGTAGAAGAATTCGAGGAGATCGAGGAAATCGATCAATCCTGTCGAATTGCTTTTTGGAAAACATTAGTTGAAATTGAAAATGGTAGTTGCGCATGAAAGGTTGATACCAGCAAGGAGAGGCAACGACTTGAGTCATAATACCTTTAAGTGCATCCCAATTAGGTGTAGTCATTTTTGTTTTATAGACGTGAAATGACCTTTTGATACGGTAGAATGCCGACAATTCTCCGGGCAGGGCAGTGGGACAATCAGAGAACAGCACTACATTACAATTGCCCACATTCAGTACCTGCTCTCAGAACTGGACCAATGAAGCGATCAAGTTGAGAAGAGTTGTACTCAGTCCAAAATGATGACCTTACAGACAGAGGTGGGTCTAGTAGCAGTGACTGTATGGGTGAGGCTGCCTGACATAACTGATACAACACTATCACCCACTAATGTGAACTTGCTTAGTAAGCACCAAAGGGCAGGAAGGCCTGACAGTTCTAATTAGACGACATTGCACTAGGCATTCCTGTGTATCGTCTAGTACCTTACGTCACCATAGAAATCACTAATCACAGGGTGGTGAGGACTATACAACCAGAGAAAAAATAGAAAACTGAAAAGAAATAGGAAGAAGAAGAAAAAAGAGAACGAGGATGGAACGAATCAGAGAAAACTACAGACCGTGCTGACCAAAACCTGAGTAGGGAACTGGTTCAAGCCCTTCGAAGAGCGGCTGATCCGATTTCTTTCTATCCTAATTTTTGAATTTCCTTGAAACCCTACGGAGATGAACAAAAGATGTCATCATGAAGCTAGTCTTTGCTTCCCGGATAGTTAGGCTTTTTTTCGAAAAGATGATAGAAACCACCTCGGCCAAAGCTCTTCAATACGAATTCAGCTTTACTGAGCTACCCTACCATACCCATACTGGTTACCATGAATGGCAGAGCAAGCGCGAACTTCAAATAACAGCAAACCCTTACACTTAGGCGACAGATATTTTAGAAATGCCGTGGGAGGGGCAAGTTATATTTTGGCCAGATGGCCTGATTAAGTAAAACAAGGAAAAAGTAGAATGAAAAAGATGATTCTAATCGATCCCACTACATAGGTGATTAGAGCGATATTGACAAAACCCACTAACTCGAGGATCGGAATTAGGAGCGAAGAAATTACAAAAGCGATAATGAAGAAGAACAAGAAGGTAGGGTAGAGATGGAAGCAATCGAGGTTATGGGCGACCTCTCGGGAACCGCAATGTCGCATTGCGAGCTTTTTGGACGCTCTTATAGCCGCTTTTCATCTTGCAAATTGCAAAACGCGCCGCAAATTTGATTCATTGCTCCACCAATACGACAGAATGTACATAAACGAGTCTAATTGACCTCGACATGCATGCGGTCAAGCCTTTAGTCTGAAAGGAATTGCTTGAAATGGAGAAATTTGCACTTTACCATTGCCACTAAAAAATGAAAGACCCCTCTCCAAAAGCGAAAGAGGGGCCGGAGGGGACGGAAAACGGGAAAACCTTACCTTAATGGTAAGGGCATATACCGCAAAGGCAGAGTCGCCTTCGCCTACACGTGGAAGGAGGTGGCATGAAAGATAGGGGAGTGCGCACTTCGCACGCGAAGGCATCAGACATTGGCAGAGTGGCGGAAGAAGAAACTGAAGTGAATGACAAGCGTGGTGACACATGGGGAGAGTGCATGAGAACAAAAAACAGAAACAAAAATCATCGATGGACCGAAAAAAAGTGGAGAGAACGACAAGAAAGGGTGGAAGAGGAAGAAGAACAGTGGCAAAAACTGGCGGCACGAAAGGAATGTTAACGAGAATACCCTTCATAGGTGGTAGAGCTGTATTGTTCTTTGAAAGGCAAGGAATTGGAAATAATCAGAGACGTTCTTGATGATGAGACATCGGTATAAACCTCAGAAACACATCGAACAACGTAGATAACGGTAAAGAAGACACTTACGTGAGACTTTTCATCACCGCCTATCATTCAGTATCTAAAGGGAACGATGAGGATCATAAAAACTGAGGGAATAGAACAGAAAGGTAAAAAACTGCCTTACAGTCGTGCTCTGGAACTCTAGAACTTCCAAATTTACTCCAACAGAATAACGATACCGGAAAGGAGGTTCAGCGAAATGACAGCTGTACAAGAGAAGAAATTCGAGGAATTGGCATAAAGAAAGAAGAAAATATACAAGATTCATTATGCATTTGTTGCGGCGAAAGTGTGTAATGGCAAGTGGTGCCGTATCACACACCCGTGGTCACTGGTTCGAATCCTGGATCGATATCAGACTAAGTCAACCAAGCCTTCCATCCATGCGGGGCCGGTCAACTGTTACCAAATTCGTCTGGGAGGATAAAAGCGCTGACTTGTTCATCGGCTGGCCACCGTAAGTCATTGTATAGGCCACGTACGCTTCCAATACGCCCCTACGTTTCTGAATGGAAGTCGAAATCGGAGCGCGCTCCTTAGACAGAATTGATCAACTCCAACAGAGACTGATCAACAGGGACTTTAAATCACCATTATTCCTACCCTTGTACTGAATATATAAAATTGTTGGCGTTACTTTTATATAGTCACGCGTTCTCGCTGTCGACAGTGCTTACCTCAAAGAGTGGCGAAACTGGCGAAACTTCTGTGCAAACACAGAGGCATGACCCCGGTGGTGCTCAGACAAGAAGTCAAACAACACCGATTTCACTTCCAAGCTTTACAATTTCGTTCAGTTTGAAAATAAAAGGATAAAGTCTTGGGGCATGCGGATTAAATGCGTATGTGGCTTATACAATGACTTTCGGAGGCTAGCCCATGTACTAGTCAGTGCTTTTATCCTCCCAGACGAGTCTACTTTTAATTAACCGACTCTGGAGAAATGGAAGGCTTGATTGGCTTAGGCGGATGTCGGTCCGGGCCGTGACCATGCATGTGAGATAGTGCGCCACTTGCCACTACACCACCTCCGCCCAGTTTGAAAA